ACGGAGGAGATGGATTGTTTAAGTTTAGACTTTGGAGTTAGAGATATTAATATTTGTTTACTTGTATTTGAATATTAGCCTAGGTTGGTTTGGGAAGTCCGGGGGGTGGGGGGATGGGATATAACATTGTGTAATATCTGTGATGTATTTCTTTTTTTTTATGATAAAAACAATAAAAATTTTATATTGAAAAAAAAAACATAATCAAATCTGTAATGAAACATATAAGAAAATCAACAGAGAGATAATTTTGCCAAAATCCAAATGACAAAATAGGAAAATTCCACTGGGATAAAGGAACTATGAACGCCCGACTTAAAATGCAATCCTGGGATTCCAACTAAAGGATAAACATGCTGTGAAAGATGTGCCATTTTTGTTGTTGTTTACAATAAAAATACCATATAAGCTCACATTAGGATCTGGATTACATAAACATATATACACACGACTCAGCTTCCATTCATGGGAAGCTAAAAACAAAATTGGGAAAATATTGTATGAGAGAAAAAAGTGTAATTTCATTCCTACTATCATTCTATGACAAAATGAAAATAGACACATGTGATTGTTTTGAAGATAGAAATGATGTGGAAAATTCTAAAGTTGTTTGTATATAGTATCAGAAACTGAAGTAGTTCTTCTGCAGGAAATTCCAGAGCAGTCTGCTGCCATGAGGATCCAATATACAAATAATCAGAAATATCCCACTTACAAAGTGCTGTGAGTCTCAGCCATCAGTGATAATGCATTCTTTTATAGCTTCAGATTATAGTTCATGAGTAATACAGAAACTTAAATTCTGTATCATTTTATCTAAATGGTTGCTTAATGTAAAAAAAAAAGTAATATCAATATTTTTTTACCCTGGAAAGCAATCTCTTTCAGAAAAAGAATTATGTGAATAAAGATTTGAACTTATAAATAACTTCTGTATTGATTGCCTTGGTATTATTATACAAAAGAAAAATAGAAGCTTTCTGAAAACAGCCAAACCATTCTGAAAAAATTGCTGGATACTCTTTTTCTATATGTTTTTGTTACTTGTTATTTATGTGGATGTTTTGAAATTATGTTCACTATCCAGAGTCACTTTGTAAGACGGGTGGTTATGTAAAAGAAATTCAATAAAAAAAATACTCTACAAAATATAGATCTTTTCAGATAGCTTATAATGCAGGTAGTCCTCAACTTACCACAGTTCATTTAGTGACTGTTCAAAGTTACAATGGCACTAAAAAAAATGACTTGGACCATTTTTCAGTTGCAACCTTTGAACATCCCCATGATCATGTGATCAAAATTCAGATACTTGGCAACTGATTCATACTTATGATCGTTGCTGTGTCCCAAGGTCATGTGATCTCCTTTTGCAGCCTTCTGACAAGCAAAGTGAATGGGGAAGCGAGATTCACTTAACAACCAAGTTACTAACTTATCAACTGCAGTGATTCACTTTACAACTATGGCAAGAAAGGTCGTGAAATAGGACAAAACTCACTTAACAAATGTCTCACTTAACAACAGAAATTTTGGGCTCAGTTGTGGTCGTATAATGATAGGTTCATACCCTGGGTTCATACCGTGTTAGCACACAGGTGTGTATCTCTAGCTCATGAAATTTAATGAACCAATTAGAGAGCTAATTTGAGCTAACAGTTAAGGTGCTGCCTAGAAACCAGGAGATTATAAATTCTAGTCCTGCTTTAGACATGAAAGCCAGTTGGGCGACTTTGGGCCCGTCACTCTTTCTGTCAGCCCAACCCACTTCACAGGGTTATTGCGTGGGAACAACCCGAAGGAGGAAGAAGGAGAATTATGTATTATTTATAAAAATAATAAAAGGTGGGATTAAGGAAGGGAGGGAGGGAGGGAGGGAAGGAGGAAGGAATTCCACAATGCGATTGCTGATGGTAACTGTGGTGTTCATAGAGCTAATGCACCAGTGGTATTAATCTAAGTGCAGATTAAGGATTAAAAACAGTACTGTAGTCTACAATTCTTTATGCAGCTCTAAGTTCAGTGCTTCCCCAACCCATAATGGAGGGAGCTAGGAATCAAACAGGAAATTTAGGCGTGACTGTTAACAAGCGCCCTTAGCAGAATTGTAGCTTTCTTTTCATGAAGGTCTTTCTCCCTAGAAAACCAATACTTGTTCATGTTTTGAAAACAACCCTTTACTTCTAAGGTGTTTGTCATTAGTGCCCGTAGAGAAGTTTCATCCAATTCTGTTTAGATGTGTGATGTTAGGCGTACAGTTTTTCAGGCCAGACCAGGAAGCTATAGCAATAGGATGATTTTGCTCACCAAAACAGGCAATGTTTCCATCCAGACCTATATACTTTAAGTCGTAATGGGCAGCTTCATTTTCCATTGCTTCATTCTCAGATTTGTCATCCATGGCAAATATGGTTTTTTGCCTGAACTCAGCATTGTCATCAAAATTTATCTTGGCGTCAAAGCATACCACTAAATGGAAAAGGGAATAAAATGGAAAGGAAAACAGAATTAGAATTTCACCTCAGATTTTAAGGGCTTACAAAAGCAGTTATCAAAAAGCAATTTGCCACAAATCTACTTGGTGTCAAAGGAATTTTTTTATGATATCTCCAAGTTGCCTTCATTTCAGTCTGAGTATATAAATAGGATAGGTTCAAGTTGCCCTTAGCTTCACTGAAATTAAAATGATAGATAGATAGATAGATAGATAGATAGATAGATAGATAGATAGATAGATAGATAGATAGATAGATAGATAGATAGATAGATAGATAGATAGATAGATAGATAGATAGATAGATAGATAGATAACCTTTATTGTCATTTTTTACTGTGGGCACAATGGCACACATTAAAAATGAAATTTAGTTGCTTGCTCTCAAAGTGTACATATATATAACACACATTTAAACATGCTATATACAACATATGTATAGACCTACACCTTTACATATAAGTAACATATAAATATTATATGTTAATATTAACATATAATTAATAAGTAACATATAAATATTAATCCATCTTGAATACATAACGGAAGGAGGAAGCTTTAGAGTTCACAAGGTTAATACTGTATGTCAGGGCTTTTCAACCTTTTCACCCATTGTACCACTTTTAGGATATGGCAACATCCTAGTACCACCAGTCGCCTAGCAAGGTGTCAAAAACTTGATGACACCCCCCCAAAAAAGGAAAAAAGTGACAAAGTACAGGTAGTCCTCAACTTACAACAGTTCGTTTAGTGACTGTTCGAAGTTACAATGGCACTGAAAAAAATGCCCCCCAAGCCACAGTCGAGCAAGACATCTGCCTGCCCGCCCGGTGGTGCTCTTTCTCCTTCATTGTTGTGAGAATTTCTGTTGAGGATTGGCAGCGGGGGTGGGGTGGGGGGTGTTTTTATTCCCCCCCGTCTGCTGGGTGGTTGACCTGCTTACTGACTGTAATAAAACTAAAATTTTTCCCAGAACTTTGACTGATCATAGTATGGTGTGGATAGAGATTGGACAAAAAAGAAAGAGGAAATCTTGGAGAATAAATGAAAACTTGTTTAATTATGAGGATAAAGTTAAAGCTTTGAAGGAATCTATGGAAGAGTTCTTTCAACTTAATATGAATAAGGAGACTTCTATAAATATTGTCTGGGATGCTGGCAAGGCTTATTTAAGGGGAATATTAATTGCTATGAATAATGCATATAAATGCAAGCAAACACAGATTAGATTCAACTTGGAAAAAGAAATTGGGATTAAGGAAAAATTATTATTGCAACGACCAACAGATATTAACTTAAAAAATTCTATTAAAATGCTTAAAGACCAATTTAACTTATTAATTGCTGATCAGGTGGCCACCAACTTGAAGTATATTAAACATAATACATTTGCCAATGCAAATAAACC